AAGGTCCGTAATCTTCAGCTACAGCGAGTTTGACAGCATTGTAGCGTACTGTACCTTACTTTACTCGCTTTTTCTCGTTTCCACGGCCAGGGAACGCGAGGATGGCGACGAATTCCTCGGTAAGAGGTTGGTTGAGAGAAAGATGGAATCGATCGCGCGATTGGCGTAACGTAAGTTGTTTGGCACGGGCACGATAAACAAGCATCGGCAAGTCCCGGTCCCTCTTTTCTGTCCTTCTGCCTCTCGATGGAACCTCTCCGGGGAAGTTACGTCTTTTCACCAAGTCTAGTCGCTAATATGTTCTTAATACCGCCTTCCCTGATGCTCTTATTTGACTGCTCCGCTTGTGCTCCCCTCAGCGGCCTATTCCCATCGAACCGCCGTTGTCTCCACTCTGGAACTGGCCAGCTATTTTATTCTGGGAACGACACCACAATGCTGGTTACGAAACGAAGCCGCTCGAAACTGCTCGCCCACGCTGTTTGTATTGCCCAGTAACGCGGTAATGAGCTCTGGAGATCCGTCCAAGATGCCGCGGAATCCCTGCCACTTCGTCCCGTTCCGCGGGGCATGGACGAGAACAAATGACTGCACGAGCCCTTACATACTAGTCGTCAGCAATGGTAAGCGTCGACTTCCGGCGGGAACGCACAGCACCTCCGGAAACTCGGCGCGATCATACCCCCTTTTTTCTGGCATCTTAGTCTCAGCTTCCCGACCTTCCTGGTTTTCGACGTCGAATGCCATTCAAATCTAAATTTGCGCGGATGACTCTCAGACCCCGTTTCCCTGTCTTCCTCCTCTCTTCCACTAAATCCGACCGAGGGTCTCATTCTCTGCACCGAAAGGAAAACAATGCAGGAGAGCCCTGACGCCGAAAACCCGAAACTGCGCCTCCTTGAAAGCCTCCCACTGCCCGCAAGCGCGAGGCATTCTGACCTGAAGAGATTCACGCCGCATCGAGGATCCGTCTCACGTACCGTTATTGTGAGCATCGTGTCCGTACGTTCACAGTCTACCTCGGCATTTCACACACCATAACCGAGACTCAATCTATTTCTATAAAGCATATCCCACCTTCTGCCTCGCCATCCAATCGTGAAACCGCGCATGCGAGCCGCCTCCCTATCCCCGTCCGGCATGCAGCTCCTTTGAGCTTGTTCATCTCTCCTGACCTGGATCACTGGCGCGCTGTTCGTATCTCATCTTACAATCTGCACCTGCGGTTTTAATCCCCATTCTTCGTGGATGAGTTCTCGCTCGGTATACACGCATGGCTCGTCTGCTGAATGCGTGCTGAGAGCTTCTCGCTAGCATCCAGCACCTGGGACTGTCAATCAGCGCAGAGAGAATGGGCTCGGACGAGCACGCCCAGCGGAGCAAATGATTGCATTGGATGCGCGGACTGAGCACTGAGCGTCGGACATACGAGCAGAAGCGTGCATGACCGTCAACCCGTCTTCTCCCACAGCAGCGCGGGTTGATTAGCTTTCGAGTTTACTTTATCTTGCTTTTCCTTACTGTTCCGACCCAAAAACAACCTTGGTCGTCTTCTCGACGAGATCCCTGCCTTCCCACGTAAAGCGCCAGGCTTGGGATATATAAAATCCTCGTCCTCCAACCCGGCTTCCTCTCGTTAGTCTACCCACCGTGGTCTATTCTCAGGCCCGTCTACAGCGTTCGCATACCTACTCACCGTCTGGTCTTCTTTACGAACGCTGCCACGACCGGCTTTACCTCAAGCATGACTCTCTCTCGCGTCCTCCTCGTCACAATCCAGGCCATCGCGAATGGTCTCGTCTGCACACCGCCCAACCCAACGCCTCAAAAGCAACGCTACCACACTGAGCAGATGTACATCCTCCAGATAGCGCCATTTATATTCAAGGTTCTTTTTTCTCCCCCTCCGTCCCCGTCTCTCACTAACGCCGCCTATAGTGCCACCAAATAATCGCCTACTGTTGCGCCGCCTTCGAGATCCTCTATTACCTCTCCACAACCCTGGCGCCATCACTCGCTCCGAGCCTTCTCAAAGCCCCTCTCTCTCCTTACGCCCAATCCACGCTAACAACCCTCACCTGCCCGCTTCAACGCCCCGGCACCACTGCGCCCCCCTACCTCAGCACAACCCCTACCCTCTGCCTCGGCGTTCTCGCAGTCGCCTTGGGAGCCTACATCCGGCTCGACTGCTACAAGACCCTCGGGAACCTCTTTACCTTCGACCTCACGCTCGACCCGCACCACCGGCTCATCACGACGCGCTTCTACCGGTACGTCCGGCACCCGGCGTACACAGGCTCAATGCTGCTCGTCGCCGGCCTGACGCTCGCGCACCTCACGCAGGGGAGCTGGATGACCGAGTGCGGGCCCCTCGCGCGGAGCAGGGTCAGTGGGGTTGTTGTGTGGGCGACGTGGTGGTTGTGGACGTTCTGTTGTGGGATTAGCAGGGCGGACGCGGAGGACAAGCAAATGCGCAAAGTGTTCAGGGAGGAGTGGGATACGTGGGCGAAGGAGGTGCCGTGGTGGTTCTTGCCTGGCCTTGTTTGAATGTTTTCCTTTGCTTTGCGTTGGGCTTGCCTTTCGCCGTAAGTGAACATTCTCTTCGTTTTCGCATCGATTTTAACCTCTCCATTGCTTCGCCAGATTTTTATGTCATAGTCCAACGACCCGGCTCGGATAGATACTCATTTATAGATTTACACCACTCCGCTGGACGGCTCGCCTTTCCGTCTCTTCACGAGCGAAAATCCTCGAACGACACCAGCTGGCCTCGTTTCTAACGACCCCTTTTATTCTTTCCATGAAACCACGAAAAGTTCTATTACTGCTACACTCACGCATATTGGATCAGGATTCGCATTTCATTTCTTTATGACACCATCCGCCAGACGCCCCTCTTCCTTGTCCTCTCGCTCTCTCCCTTTCCTCAAATCATACATTTCACGACCAACCACTTCCGTTAATCTTGCACCATCTACATATTGTGGATCTCAATGCTCGGACATCTTTACTATGTATCACATAACGTATCTCATGAATGACACGCTTCATTTTTCGCTCCAAAAAACGAGTGAATGAAATGCTCGAGTCGATGAACTTCAAAACAGGAGAGCGACGGAAACAGCAGGGCCTGAATTATTGAGGATATTGGAATGAGACTCGAATGCTCATGGCGAATCTTAGAGTTATTTGACTTCGACGCTTGATTAATTACGAGTTAATATTCATCTCAAACGCACTTGTCCCTGGTCTCCAGGGCGCAAGACGCGGTCTACGAGGAATTTATTTTATTCGGCGCTCAAGTAATCCTCTATAAAGATGACACTGCGACGTCGTCGGCTGTGATATTTAGGCTGGTCCGTTCGTGGGAAAAGGCATACTGGATGACGCCATTCGGTAGAATAAGCGCCCACACTCCTTGTCTTCACACAACCACCAGCAGAACTCGTAGTACGTCTCCTAGAGCCCTATATCAGCAGATATTCGAATGTTATATGTCGTATAGCATCATACACCCATGTCGACGCGAGACTCTTCTCCTGAACCCGACGGTGATGGCCAAGGGGAGAACCCCACAGCGACAAACGCTGGCACAATCCCGACCAAAGGAGGCGAGTATTTTAATTTTTCATTATACGCAGCTCATATATCATGCGTCAATGTAGGTCTACTTGACTTGATATTTGAATATCCCAGTGGGAATAAAGTGAAACGAGCGTATGCCGTTGTTGCCTATCCAGCAACTTATCAGGTACGACACGTTATGTATTCATGAGCAAGGACGATGACGCCGATGCACATCCGTATACAGGGGGCTGTAGAAGCCGCAATCAAGGTTTTCGATCTGGATAAATCCCCGTGGAACCTCTTTCCGGGCGATATTTGGTTGCGTCGCTCCACTTCCAGTGCACATGTAGACAAGGACAAAAGATGGGCTCGGTTCCTTCCTGAAGAATGGAACAATGTTGTACGCCCTGGGATTGACAATATCCTAGTCTCGAATCGATCTTTGAGGCAGATGGACAATGCAGAGGTGCGCCGTCGATTCCTTTTCCTATAGATCTGACTTACCCGGGGTGGTACTTGTGCCATTGACAGAGTGCCCCTCAAATCCTGGAGCTGCAGTCTGATAAAAAAAATGTTTTTCTACGTGTTGCTGTGCCACTCCCGCGAACCTTTGAGGTGCTGCACTTCTTTGTATCTGATTTCCAGCGAACTGATACGAATTTGGTCGATAGGAGTGTCAACAGCAGGCTCTGACGAAAGTCGTCTATCAACTCGAATCCTGGAGAGCGGGAGAGGGCACCGTACCAATCTTGAAAGGCTTCTTAGGGTCTATACGGTCGAACGGGGACGTTGTCTATACACGATTGACGCCACAAATCTATCACTCATACGTTCAACGAGCTGAAATCCCCGTTATTTATGTATCATGGTGAATATGCTCCTCTAGCTCCGGAGGTTCCTTCATCTGTAATCTACAGTTCGTAGATCCAATGAATCTTGAGGGATACGGTTATGTTGATACTGCGTTGCCCTGCGCTTCCCCTACTACGAAGCTTTCTCGTTTATAATTCAGATCGCACCACACTCAAATTTTAGCTGAGAGCTGAGCCCGGAGCTTGTAGATGTATGATTCCCACTTTGAGAATTTCCTCTCAATCCACGACGAAATCTGGCTTGGGGGCTCGGTACCCTCTTGTAAAATGTATCAAGCGTATTGTTCTCCCATCGAGTGATTGGAACAGCAATCGGGAAATTAGCACCTCTAACGGCTTAAATAATTCCCTAGACCTGGTATGAATGACGCATGAAATGGGAGGATGTACCATCGAACTGGCACTGAACTGGCTCGATATGTTGGATGGAACGTTCGCAAGGGGACGGAAAGTTTCTTCAAGTTAGATCCTCGTTTCCGTGATAAAAGTTGTGCCGATTTTTGTCTAACCTGCCTTCGCGAAAGATGGGACTTGCCCAGGCCAGAACACCTGCTTTGACAAGGGACCCAATACCCGCCTAATATCCTCTCGATACGGCCAACGAAGTGGCGTAAATTGGAGGTAAAGCCTGAACGGGTACGAAGGCAGCTCGTTGTGGTCGAGGTCCATGACGGAGGGCAATTCCTGGTCCCTTGTTTGCAGATTCCTTTCGGCCCACTGGTACCGCGTCACACAAAGTGCGCTATACGGTACCGGTTGTAGTTTTCCTCCAAGGAAAGATCCTCTGCGATATGGAAATACAGCGTCAAGTCACGCAAACGGCGTAGGACAGGCCGGCGACCCATCGTACGCCTTTGGATTGCCTTTGGATGGGAAATATCCCTGCTTCCATATGTTTTTGAGGCGGGCAGGCTACGCAGAGGAGCGTGGTGGCAATTCCTCGCTTCGCTCGGCCCAGAGATCATGATTCAGAGATTTCGCTATCCGTCATTCATGATTTCATATCCTTCACGGCCATATTTTATGATGTCTTCTGGGAAGTCTGATTCTACTAGATCTGCACAGCTCAATACTGCTACGCTTTCTTGTTCGTAATCATACAATATTCATTGAGAATGAGCCGTGCTAGCCAATTTTCTACATGTACTTGTTCAGCTTTGAGAAATTTTCCTCGATTAGTCCCAGGATACCACAACGAAACCTGGACGAGGGTTTTGGTCACCCGCTTGCAAAATGACCATCTGATCGGCGAAAAACACATTGCGAACCCAGGCCCAATGTCCTTTCTCCCACTTCTGCCTATCGGTGTCACTCTTCGGGCGGGATATCGGAAGGTCAGGGAAAGGACGGGTGATGAGTTTTCCTTCTTCGTTCAGCGCGCATTGGAACCCGCTCTCTACGAATGCCTCTAGAGGTATAACGCACATCTGACCATCACCGCAAACGACGCCTAGTTCCTTCCCCGACTCCGTGACGTCTATCGCGTCCGCGCCGCGAGCACCCCAGACGGAACCACAAGGCCGCTGGAGCTGTGGGATGCCATAGGTGTTCTTGATAGTTCCATCCACGATATCCACGATGAAGATGTCGTCGTAGCTGAAGGATAGGAGGACGTTGAGATGAGGAATGTATCGGATATTTTCGCTCCGATGTTGGACGATGACTTCCCAATTCGTTCTCAAGGTGTCCGCATCGATGCTCCGGACGACAGTGCTAGGACACGGGTCTTGTCCTTCGTGGTAGCTCTCGTAGTTGGCGAGGGCAAATGCGTTTGTTTCTGGGAGCGTAACAAAGCCGTGGATAGCCGACCATTTCTTCTGTGAATCGTTGGTAAGGCGGGTTGGTGAGGCGAACGGGATAGTTCGGTATGTGGCATCACGCGCATTCTTTGACCATCGAGTGATTTGAATGGCGGTGGGGAAATTGGTATCCCTGGCGACTTCGAGGAGACCCCTTGGCGAATGAAGTAGGAGATAGGAAGATGTATTCCCGAACTGATTCGACATTTTGGATGCGAGACCGGCAGGTGGATGGAGAATCTCTTCAAATTTGAACTTCCCCTCCTCGCTAATGGTGTGGATTTCGACCAGTCCGCCTGGTTCTGTGGTGTGCGTGGCCCAAAAAACCGCGATCTTTCCTTGAAATTCACCAAGAAATTCACCGTCCGATACGATTCCACCAATGGAATTGGCTTGGAAGAGGATCTTTCGATCGAGCAGTGCCCCGGAATCTAGGTCATGGATATATAAAATGGTGACAGTTTTGCTGTCTTGCGGTGCGCGATCCAGGCTAAGCACACGGCCCATACCGATATTGATATGTTGCGTGAATGCTCCACTGCCCAATAGCTTTCCACGCAGTGTAGGCTGGGAACCATCGCATTTCCAGGAATAGGTGGCACTGGCATCGCTAGCAATGAGGTATGGATAAAGGAGTTGGTCGGGTGTAGAAGAATGTTCAACGGCTGAGATACGTGGATTGAAGACCATAGTGGCGTTGGAAGGATGTGGATGGGCGGTCGCGGATGTTCCTGTACGGAAGCGCTGACCAACATAAGGGAATCTCTGCTGGCCGTCGATGTCGGGTTCAGAGAGTACCTGAAGCGGGCGGTGACTAGAAGCTGATTTGACTGATCCTTGGATAAATATATAGTACGCTGAGTACAGTTGTCGTGCTTAATTTGGTCCTGCTTGTGGCTACTCGGTCGAGGGAAGCTTGCGCCGTCCTTTGCCAGTTTCTGGGCGTCCACTGTAAATGAAAATCGAAGCACCCCAGTGGCCCACATCCACAGCTCTGTCTGATATGATCACAATGGAATAACGATGCACGTACACCCCCTCATCCCCTCTTGATCGGCATGTGGAATTGTTTGCACGCTGCCGAAAATTGGTACAACCTGGATCGTAAATCCCCAGAGTTCATTTGTGCCCAAGTAGGCTCCTCCATACTCAGCAAGGATTTTGGTGTCGCCGCCAGGTGGAATTATGGCCACCGAATCAGCGCTGGTGACGCCCACTATGTGCACTACCAATAGCTGATACATAGTACGACTAATTTTGGCACACGTCTGCGCTCATTCCCGAGTGGCAGTTTGCATCACAACTCCGATTGGCTAGGTCCAAGAGCCAGATATAAAGACTGGGGAGAAGGGGGATTAGTTGGTTGTCGCAGGTCCGGTCACTCTTCACTTCGTGTTTATCGCTGGTTCGATAAAAGCGCAGAATGCTTCCTCTCTTCTGGATCGTCGAAATCGCTTTGTTGTTTGTCGCTGCCCATGGGTTAATTATCCCTCATGGCGGGGTGCATCTGTACGTCTTCCGGGACCATGACGGAGAATTACTGGAAAATAGATCTCACTTCTGGCTACAGGGAACGTCGCGTTGTCATGAGCGAGTCTGATATAAACAATAAATTCCAGCTCATGGCCAAGCACATCTTCGAAGGCGAGGATAAGGACAAAGGGTCAGGACGCCACATGCTCCGAGTCTGGTGCAAGGGCAATCCAAAAAGCCGGGGAATATGCCATAAGGAGACGCACCTCTGCTATTTCAGCGTAGGCAATCCATATTGTCATCTCACTTCATTATTCTATGCCACCTTAATTTCAACAGAAGAACGCCAAGACAGTTTGGGACGACCGGGCCAACATGTTTACAGAGAAAGAGGTGGAAAAGATGTGCAAAGAGGCAATCAAACTTAACCATCTCGGTGTCACGACGGTCAAAACCACCTCGTTCATCCTCAACGCGAAGTTCGGAAACATCTGCGTCACACACCTCACATCAGGAACTGGATCCTGCTATCCAGATGGCATCAACCCCGGCGATGTTTTGGTCAACAAACGAGGATCGCCTCTCGCAGTTGGCGAGGCCTGCCCCAGTGGCACTGGATTAGATATCAAGAAAAGCAAATTCGAAGAAGCAGTCAAGTGCGAGGAGGTCAATAAGTCGGAGGAGAAGGAGGAGAAATAGCACCAGTCTTCTGAGACGCGTCACAGATGGGTTCTGTTGTTTGTGAAATTATATAATTACACGGAGCACCTCTGAAAAAGATGACGGCCAAAATACTTGCCTCGGCAGAGGGCCCATGACCCGCCTGATATCTTCTTGGTATCACGACGACCAATAACGAGACGAGCTCCATGCTGCAGGGCAATTCCTGATCCCTTGTTTGCAGATTCCTTTCGACACAGTGGCACTGCAACATACCAAGTGCAGCCATACCCGTTCAATTTTTCCTCCAAGGAAAGGTCTTCTGTGATACGGAAGGACAGCATCAAGTCACGCAACGGCGTAGGACAGGGCTAGTTTGATCGCCAATGGCCGGACTAAATCGCAGTTGTCTGGAACGCATTAGACAGCTTCATAGTTTCCTTTCAACACGTCAAGGGAGGTGAGGAAGGTGGTGAACCAGAGGAGCTCCCGGAATTCCTCATTCAAGAATTCAAGCTCACACAGAGCAAGTTCACACGGGGCAAGCTCAATTGTGTCAAACCGGACAGGGTGAACATCAACATGTGGTTTGAGAGGGTCTCCGCGAACGGGAGGTGTTCCGCGAACAGTGTAACGGGGTGGCTAACGGATGCGATGTGGAGGTAGCGAAGTTTCGGGAAGAAAAAGTCTTTCAAGATGGTGTCGATGTCTGCACCGAAGCCAACACGAATGCTCAGGCGCTTTGCAGATTCGAAGGATATCAATCCAGAAGCAAGTGAGGGTATCCTCAACCGCTGTTCCTGAATTTCACGAGGATTGGTGTATCCGTGCCCTTGGAAGTAGACCTCGATCTCTTCTAGGTTTGGGCACTTCAATATGAGGCCTTGCCAATCCATGACCGGAGCGGTGTTCGGGTCGACGTAGGTGTTCCTCGGGGATACAATGGTGGAAAGATGTTTGATCTGCCCGTACGGAAGGTTGATAAGATTGAGGTTGGAAGACGAGGCCATCTTTAGTCGAACGTGATGCAATTTCGGTGCTCGTAAGAGCGAAAGGAGTGTTCCTCGAGTCGCTATCTCGGAACGGATATCCAGCGAGATCGACCGAAGAACCTGGAGTTGTGGTAGCAAAATAATCCTCGCGAACGCGAAAAACAAGAAGTTTGACGCTTTCGACGTAGAAAGAGAGAGATGTTTGCAGGAGGTAATTGCGCTTGTTAGGAGCTTCGTGACTTCGGGGTGCATGTCTATCGACTGCTTTGCATGTTCTTGGACGATTGCGAGTTCCAATGGGATGTCGCAAGATAATTCCTTGTGATTAGGGCTGCCAACCGAACCCGTGTGCGACGGTAGACGGCAGCCGACGCACGGCACGGGTAGCCGAACCGGAACCATTCCTGGCTTCCCTCACCCGGGACGGCTGAACCATTCACAGCGCCTGTCCAAGCCGTGCTTGGTCGGCCGGTGGAACCCGTCGACGGAAAGCCGGGTTCGAGAGTAATTGTTACTCATCTCTGTATCGAATGATATGGCTAGTGATTGGTAGGTTAACTGTGTATAATGGGTAGACAAATATGCATAAAATATAACACCTACATATCCCGATAGAGTAGCGGCGCGACGCAAATTGCGAGGTGCGTCATTCCCTGGGTGTGCGAGACTTGAGTAGCTTGAGTGAGTGAAGAAGAGAGGTGCGATGCGAAACGTGCCAGAACCTGGGACGAGCGCTTAATGTGTTAGAACTCCAGAGAAGCTGATATTTTGAACGATGTCATAAGCCCACGAAAACGACGAAATATAAGTATGAGGGATGAATATATGACAACTTACGAGGGCGTCAAGAAGATACAAGATGAAATAGAGAGATAAGTGTGCAGGAGATGGGTCTCCGTGGCTAGTGGAGGTGATTCGGGATGCGGCTATGTGCACCCGCTGGTCCAATCCAATAGTCCGAAGTTGTTCGATGGGCGCTTGAATGCATTGGCCGTGGCATGCTACGAAGGCTCTCTAAAAAATGCCCAAATGAGTTGGGTTTAAAAGATTACTACCCAACATCTCACCATGCCAAAGGCCCACACAGTCGGAGGGACCAATCAGCAAATTTAGGCGCCGAGGGTTACTTATGTTACCGGGTTGGAGGACGGCCGTACACGGCCGTGTTTATTCCCGACCCGACCCGATGGTACATCCCTTTCCTGAATACCCGGCCGGTTCTCACTCATTTAAACCCGACCTCCAGCCGTCCTTGGACGGCCGTCACCGTACCCGGCACGGTTGGCAGCCCTACTTGTGATATAGAATAGCCGACACGAGGGTATTGACCTTGCCTGGGAGGTCGTCAAACGTGGACTTGACGCGATTCCACAGCGTCGGTTCCTTGAGGGCAACCTCTCTCCAATATTTGCACACCTGGAGGAAGATGAAGGGGGCGGTAGATTTGGTAGAGCGACGGAAACGATAGTCTGGGATGCACAATCGCATGACGCGACATAATATCTCTGTCGGCAACCGACGGATAGGAGCACACGCAGCGCTGCTAAGGGCTGCTGCTGCCCGCTTTTGCTGCAGCAACGTGCAATGCTCGGCTAGATTTCGACGTGCGTCTTCCACAACCTTTTCCAGCTCGCGTTTTTGCGCTTCCAGTGAAGTGATTTCGGCGTGCCTATCTTCCTCGAATGCCTTCAAGATCAACCTTTCTGCGTCTGAAGGTGCGCCTTCAAATTTATACTTGGAGATGAGACGAGAGGCGCGATCGTCCTGATCCAAATCTCAACTGCTAGCGCTTGAATCAGATTCCTACATAACCGCACTCACTGAGCTTTATACTTGGAGATGAGACGAGAGGCGCGATCGTCCTGATCCAAATCTCAACTGCTAGCGCTTGAATCAGATTCCTACATAACCGCACTCACTGAGCTTTCGTACATTGCCCACCACCGTTCAGATTGCTGACGATCCTGGGAGCCTTCAAGGTCATTCTGTCGTTGCGACTAGAAATTTTAGTTATGCGTACCATGCTTTCTTCTTGTCTATTCAAAGATAGGAAGGTGAGCAACGTTCGTCGTTGACGGCGACTACAATAATCTGGATCCCGTGATCCGGACATCTGCTCCGGCCGGATATTCCAAAAGAGGCAAACGTCCCCGGGTTTATGTTACTGTTACGCCTCAGCGTTGCCCACCGCTTCAATGAACCTTGGAACGATCCCATTAAACTGTAATTATACTCGTTACCTAACGGCTGGAGGTTGCTTATTATTATTTCTCAGGAAGAACGCCCTTAGCAAACGGAAAAGCGATGCTCTGTGGATTCAAGACTGCAACTTCGAGTTTTCGTTTCTACTGCATGTCGCTGGGAAAATCAATCTTGAACGACGAGAGAGTCTCTCGATACCCTCCACTTTCAACCCCGAGCGATAAATTAAAAGCTGGTAACTTGATAAGACAGTAGACGGTAGAACCCTCTCGTCGTGTTGCGCCCTCGGCCGCCGCTGAGAACCCACTCTAGAGATAGTTCAATTTCGGTCTCACCTTCACTTCATTCCACCAGTGAGGATACTGCGCAGCCTTCTCCGCGCTTCGGAGCGCACTGGTGCCGTTCTCGACAGCGGTATACACGAAGAAGTCAATGGATGCCGACGGCCGTGACATCTGTGTGGCACATGGTCGTCTCTCGGGGCTGCTTTTGTAAGTATTGGTCAGAGGCTTCGAACTTCTAGCTGACTTCTCAGTCGTCGGGTTCGAATGCGAGAACAGATTACCCGGAGAGTTTCAATGTGCTCGAACCATTGACAATGCCAAGGGTGAAGGGTGCAGATGAGCCAATTCGCTGATCCATGCCGCAGGGTTATGTAGGAAATTTCTGAGGTCTATGTATTTCTAAAAAAAACCTTTTCTAAGCCTGGTAATTACTTCTAAAGTTGTGAGCGTCGATCTATTGGAAGACGTTGGTCTGAGGTGTCCAAAAGCAGTTGTTGGCGCTTTGGAGGCGGATCATCTCCTTATCGATTTTTTTTTTCGTTTTCCAAGAACACGTTGAGGAAGAACGCGGCCCTATTTTGGGCTACCTGGGAGTATTTAGACGTCCGTTCCTGTATGAAGCAAAACTCAATAGCGTACAAACGTCCTCATGTCTCCTCACGTTCACAAAAATCCCCTGAACTCCGCCACAGACCCCTATTTAGGCGGCGAGCACACACCGCAGTGTGGCGTTTGACAGCGCTAATCTATCCTCGCTTAGACATTCAAAATCGGCGCTTGTCACCAGTGCTCATAGGAAGAGCGAAATATTCAGTGGGGTGGGTGACGTAGGAAGAAATGCCTCACCAGTCACCAGGCATCCGCTCAAGCGCGCTTGGTTCCGCTGCTTACTCACATGATAACCCGTAAGAAAGATTGGAATACTTGTTCGCGTCGCATGATATCTCGGCACCTGTGACGTCTGGACTGGGGTCTGTCCATCATTCGTGACGAGGTCCAATTTTACGAAGTGTTCGAGAAGCAAAGGTGACGACAGGAAGCTTAGAGCAGCCTTTCTTTCCCAACTCGTCCCACACCTTACGTGCTAACATCTTTTTCCTGG